TTTTTTTTTTTTTTTTTTTTTTTTTTTTTTTCTGCTTTTGGATTCTGCAAAGTTGCACATTCAAAAAGTGGAAGACAAAAAATAGTGTTGTCCAGACGACAGATTTTTGGATTCTTGGCAATATTTAAGTTCTGCTGGAGGAAAGGACTCATATCGATTGGATTAATGTTTTTTTTACATAATCTGCTGTTTCTCTTGGCCACTGACTGCGGCTTGGTTATGCCCTCAGTCCTGTCGCATTTCACCACTGCAATCGATTCCGTTTCCCATTCTGTTAATTCTGCGCCTTAACCGTTAAAGTGTTGTTGAAACTGGCAAAATTCAACCAGTGTGTTACTTTTTTTGCGATTATGAGTCATCGGCTACTAAAATTGTCAGAAACTTTTATCAAGGTCGTGAAATTTATGAGTTAGTCCATCCAGAAAAGAGCTACATGTGAATGCACAAAAACTCCTCTGTACAAATGAATGGGAGTTGTTCCGTTTAAAAAAGTCGGATTGATGTATTAGGCTTCGTCATTTAACGGCTGCGAAAGTGTTACGCCATTTTTTGATTAAACAATCAATTCAAACTTGTGGACTAGTCTGGTAATTTTTTTACAAGATCAGATTTCCTTTAACAGTTACTTTGAACGGCATAATACCTTGTATATAGGACTGGAAAAGTTGACTGCCACTTCCTGCTCGGCCGCAGAACGGTTTAAAGGTATTTGTTAAGCCGGGTCGTTGAGGATGAACATCTGTCTGGCAACTGACGGTATCTTTAAAAATCTTCAGAAATTCATAGCAGAGTTCCCGTGCATCTGAAAACGTATTCTTTCTTTGGCTCGAGTTACTGGTAGTCGTCCGAAAGCTTGAAATTTGGAGACCTTTAACTATTTAAGTATTTGTTGAATCTGCAGATAAGTGGTAAGCACAAGCATTCCCCGGTACAGTTTACCGCTGCAAAATTTTTGGCAGTAAGATTACCTTGCAAATTCTTTTTCGTAGCCATCGCTACTTTTCAAAATGCATTGAACGTTCCGTTTACAGTTAGAGCAATTGATTTAATAGAGACAGTTTAGAAGCCTGAATCAGTGGACGATTTGAGAAATCGTTAATGCGTTTCAGTTCAGCACTGATTGTTCTCAAAAGTACTTAGGAAGGTCACAGGGAAAAGGGTGGTTGCTGTCAAAAAATCAAAAGATTTCGTGCAGTTCTGAGATAAAGAGTTGAAAACACAACTAATGAGCTGATTCTTCAAGAAAATCTACTTACAAATTTTTTTTTTTCTTTTCTTATTTGTTGCACAGATTGAATTTCTGCCTGTGGCTGCTTGTTTGGCAGATGCGACAGAATTTGATGTGTTTTCGGTTTTGATGCAGTACTTGTTTGACACTTCTGATTTCAAATTTTTCTTCCTTGTTCTTTGTCTAGCTTGCGAAATAGACGGGTCGGGAACGGCGAACGCTTTACTGTCAACTTGTTTGTTTACCGTTTAGTAGAACTTTTATTGCTACAGATAGAACTATGTTGCTGTTTTTCGATGAACAGAAATGCTGCCATTGCTGTTGGATGTTACGCTGTCAGAAAGCGATTTGTTAGAAGTAAACAACAGCAACGACACCAGTTGTTTACGAATGTGCTCATGTTGGTATGGCTTTTGTTGGACAAAGCTGCTCATTTTTTACCTAGGCTTCTGCTAATGGTTACGATGAACTTGTTTAACTGTAGTTCAATGGTGACTAATTCGTTTGTATTAAAAGAACATTCAGAAGTCCCGTCATGTTGTTGAAATTTATTTGTTGCATTGATTTCGTTTGAGATTTGGTTTCTGATTCAAACGCCGGAATGAATAACGTTTTCAACATGTACTTTTTTAAATGCTTATTTGAATTGCCTGTTGCTGTGAAATTTGCTGGAACCATGTATTTATTTTCATTTCGTTTTATTCCAAAAGTTCTAAAAGAAATCTTACCGTCTTTGTCTCGCATGTATGCCTCTTGCGTAATTCAGGTGATTGTATTAGTTGGATGGCGGGGTTGTAAATATTAGGTCACTGATCAGTGTTGTTCTCTGGATCAGCAGAGGTGCCGTAGTATCAGCGGGATGACTCTTATGCACTCTTGTGCTCCATAGTAGCCGTCTGTGAATGCAGTTAAGTAAAAAAAGCTTTTACTGGAAGGTCTTGTGTGCAGTGGTGGATTTTCGAGATTGTGCTGTAGCATAATAGAATTTCTAAATATCCTATTTTCAAATAGAGTTTTTTTCAGAATTGTGTAAATTGTTGCATTTTAATCTCGTTTTTTGCTTTCGTTTCGTTTTCTTCATATTCCTCCTTATTCTGTTTTGCCTTCTGTTACTCCTTTTTAAAATTTCTTTTATTGATTGGATTTGCAGAGGTGACATCTTCTTCTTTATTATTGTATTCAAAAGTCGATCTGTTATGTACTTATTGAAATCTCATATTCAGTGGTATTTATTATCGGATTAATCATTTAGCTGCGTCCTGAAAGTGGACGGCGCATGTTACTTTGAAAAGTTTTCGTAAATTTTTCAGGTAAATGGGAATTATTAAAGTGATATCTATCTTATCTTTATTTGTAATCAGCGATATCTTTATCACTTTATTCTCCTTTGCATTCTACTCCCCAGGTTTTGAATTCAACTTCGAGTTGGTGAGTAAGTTTGTGTTATGGCGGAACTACAGTTACTTGACTGACCCATCGGAATTTTTACTGTTCGCTGTAATTCGGATACTCGTTATCTGTGTTGGCATCTTGATGAACCTTAGTTTCGGAACTAATTTTGTTCGACAGTTAGCACTGCCCCTTCTCGGTTTTTTTATACTTACTTGGACAGCAACGTTAATTAAGTTCCTTGTTTACGCAGAGAACAGTGATCAATTAAAATTCTTTGGTGTGTGGTTATCAACCATATGGAATATCATTGCTACAGCTCTTCTGTTTCCGATTTGGTATTTAATTATTTGTTCTGATTTTCTTGCCAAGTATAAAATTGTTGAGACTAATGGTCCGCCAAAGTCTCCCAGTGCTTTGAAAACTGCTCATTTGTTGATAGCTAAACGCTACAGTACATTTGAACATGCTGTACGACTACTCATGTATTGCAAGCAGCAGTGGCAGTGGTTCACTGCTGGCTTTCTATTCCTGCTTATTTATTCACTTGGTAAGATGTTAACGATCTGTGTTTTTCATTGTCATACTAGTTCAACTTCTAACTACTTTTTATTTTTCTTTTACTTCAAACAAAATTATTTTGGTAGTGGATGGTTGAGGTAAGCGTAAGTAATAAGTAGCAGGTTGAGATTACTGAACAGTCAGCCTGTATAAACTGAAGTGGCTTTATCTGTCTACTTGTAAGATTGCAGCCAGAGTTTTCATACCGAACTATAACGGTGAAGTGATTTCAACTATCTATGAAAGACGTAGTCTTTCTGCTTTAATGCATTCTGTACTTTACATAAGTGTACTGAGTTTGATAAGGTACGTTTCAAATGTGGTAATTTCTAATACTTCTTTTTTATGTTTCATTTATTGTTTAGATATTTTGTTAGTTTCCCCGTCCTTAGTGGGTAGCTTCCGGGATGGTTAACTTTCATACCTTCTAAGCTTTCTTTTTCTGTTGAAGAGCTTTATCTGTAACTTTCTTCGTTACTTTTTGTATCTTTCTATCGTTAAAAACTTTTTTAGTAGTATTTCCGGCGGATTAAGATCCGGTTGCTTTGATTATGCTGCTGCTTTATTAAATCGTCAGATTAGAATAGATCTTTTCCAGTCAATCGTTAAACAAGAGATCGGTTTCTTTGATGTTACAAAAACAGGTTAGTAAGGTTGTGATATTCTCTGCAGTTTTGTTTCTCATTTGGGTTTCGATAACCGAACTGTACACTTTTTATGTTCAAATGTGCTTCGGTGTTACAAGTTTGGCTCGTGTATTTTTTGGTTCTGGCAAACGGTTGTTAGCCAATATTCTGTTCACAATATGCACTCATTTTGTAGGTGAAATTGTATCTCGTCTTTCGGCGGATTGTCAGGCGATGTCACATATCGTTTCCACAAACGTCAACCTTTTTCTTCGTAATGGCGTAATGCTTGTTGGAGGGTTGGCTTATATGTTCACTCTCTCCTGGCGTCTTACGCTAGCTTCATTCATATTTGTGCCATTGATCGGTTATATAACGAAAATTTACGGGGCGTACTATGATGTAAGAGTTTGTATTTAAAACTTTCAGTAATTTTTTTATGCATGAGGCACTTTAGTGTAGTATCCGTTTTAGAAACTTTCCGAAAGAACACAGGCTACAATTGCTCGTGCAAATCAGGTTGCAGAAGAAGTGTTCAGTACCATAAAAACAGTCAGGTCTTTCGCTTGTGAGAAACAGGAAGTTGGGCGTTTTCGAAAACATGTGAACAAAACACTACGTTATAATAGAAAGACTAGTCTTGGATATATGGGTTATATGTTGATTAATGAATTCTGTGACAATGTTATATTAGTTGGCGTTTTGTTTTACGGTGGCCACCTTGTCCTTTCTGGTAAGTTTATAAAGTTATAAGTTCTTTTTTTTTCGTTTATTTTTTACCACTGTGGATTTTTTGAAGCAGTTTACCGTTTTAATTAGGTTTTTTACAATTGTTTATTTATTAATGAACTGTGTGAACAGCAAAAATGTTGTAACAGGGAAAGAAAGGAAAGAAATCATAGATTGGAGCAGCCAGAAATAAAACTGCGAAGTTTTTTAATGTTTAGGAATTTTTGCAAAGTCTTTTTTGTCTGCGATTTTGAAAATCCAAATGCTTTTAGGTAAACTGTTGTCCGCAGATTTCATAAAGATACTTCTTTACCAACTGCAACTTGGAGAAAATCTTTATGTAAGCCTTGTTCTACTTGTAGCATCATATTTGTTCTCGTTTTGCACTTTAAAATTGCTTGAATATCCTAGACATTTCTACTTTTTTTTTTATTTTTTTTGTGAAGATGTTTTTCAGAATATCGGAGTTTTTTTCACAGGAATGATGGAAGGGATAGGTGCATCCAGGAAAGTTTTTGAATTTATGTTGCGAAAACCGGAAGAGTATCAAGACGGCTCAGAAAGTGCCCTTCCGTATGGCGGGATCCGCTTCGACTCAGTTACTTTTGCTTATCCATCACGACCTAACAACAATGTGTTAAAAGTTAGATTTTTTAGGATTTTATTTTTTATTGAGATTTTTTTATTTTACTGTTCGGGTTTTGTTTTTTCAATATTCTAAAATTCTTGTTTATCTTTGAATGTTTTCTTATCTAGTTATGTGCTTACAGAATGTGAGTTTCACCATTAAACCAGGAGAGACTGTTGCTTTAGTTGGTCCTAGTGGTAGCGGGAAGACATCAATCATTTCGCTTATTGAACATTTCTATGAAGCCAACAGCGGATCTGTTTATATCGATGACATTTTGGTTCAAAACTTCAAACATGAGGTTCTTCACCGAAAGGTATTTGCTTAGCTGTTGTAGTAATTTCTACGGCCTTTTAAGGCAGTTGGAAAAGGCTCATATTTTGTTATAGCTAGCCTTGGTAGCTCAGGAGCCAGTATTGTATGATGGATCAGTTGGCGAAAATATTCTTTATGGCTGTCAAGAAGTAACTGAAGAAGACATGATGAAGGCTGCTGAGGATGCGAATGTTCACAGTTTTATTCTGGAGTTGGAGAAGGGCTATGATACGAATTGTGGAGAGAGAGGAACTCAAATGTCGGGTAAATTTTCCAATGTATAAAATGTTTTGGCACCAGAACAAAAAATGTTTTTTAAGTAAATCTTTTGGTACTTTTAAAACTTAGCCCTAGTCATATGCAAAACTTTGATAAACAGTTGTTACTTGATGTGGTGTAATCAAAGTATCCAATTTTTAGGAGTATTTTGCTGCAGGTTTGTAACTGTAGATCGTTTGTCAGCCTATCATTGAATTTGATAGTTGTGGAGTAGTTTATAATACTTCTTAATTTTTAAGACTAGTAAGTTATAATTCAGGAGGGCAGAAGCAGAGGATAGCGATAGCGAGAGCTTTAGTCAGACAGCCTGTTATTTTAATACTTGACGAAGCAACTTCTGCTTTGGATGCAGAAAGCGAGCACCTTGTTCAAGAAGCAATTAACCGTTGCACAGCAAACAGGACTGTTATCATTATTGCTCACAGGCTTAGTACTGTGGAGAAAGCTGATCGTATTATTGTAGTTAATAAGGGTCGCATTGTTCAGGTTAGACTATCTTTTTGCTTTAATTTAAACTATGCGTAGAAATTTGGATAACAGTATTTCATTTCAGCAAGGGACTCATAATCAACTGTTGCAAGAGGATGGTCTTTATAAAACACTCGTTAGCCGTCAACTTTTGGGGCATGATGATGTACATAAAAATCAGTCAGGTGCTTTAATTCGCGCAGAGGATTCCAACAGTTCTCTTCGACTTCTTGACTCAAAAGAAAAATAATTCAAGTTATCCTTAATCACTTTTTTACTTTTTTGGATTCCATGAAAAATAAGTTTTTGCTTGTTATTGTACAGGCTTTAAAGTGAGTCATCTGGCATCTCTGTGTATTATTGTTGCGGTTTTTTATTGGAATAAGAATGAATTGTTTTTATATTTCTGCTCCTTATTTACTGCTTACATGTTGTTGCCTTGTTTGCCTGTTTGCAGTATGCAAGTGTTTTTTTATAAGTGTTATTCAAATTTCACCCCTAACGCTGTTTGAACTGAAATCAGCCTACAAAATTTGCTCTTTTTTACTGGACGAACCAAAGCATTTCACTGTTGAAATCTCATAATTTTTTATTCACATGTGAGTTTTATGTGTTCAAAGAACTTTGTTACACTAGTGTTTTTTCTGTTTCTGAGATGCAGCATAATTGCTTTTTTTTTTTTTTTCAGTTCTTGACAAGATTGGCATTGTTATGCAGTGACTGTCATAGATTACTGTTTTGTTTTTCTCTCATTTTAATATCATTGTATATATAATGATGTGTTTGTCAAGGAGTATTAGTTCTTTATGACTTGTGCCGGGTAATGCTCATAGTGGATATAAATAATTCTATTTCTTTTTTCTTTAAGCTTTTGGTTTAAGTTATAGTTAAGATTGGTAACTGATTTCTTCTCCAGAGTTCACCATTAGGTCAGCCATCTGATTTGGTAGTATCGAAGTCAGATTAAACTATTTAAAATTGAGGGATACGTCGGTTTAACCGATTATCACTAAAATGCCTCTAGCAAAGCAGCTGCACAGCAGTTGCAGAGGAACTGGTGATGGTATCATAATTGATGAAATAGAGGCCGCGATCGAAACAGGTACAGAAACCTTTCATTGTTCGGCGGTCTAACAACGGGAGCGCGGGTTGGAAGTTTTGCTCTCGAAATGGTCAGATATACCGACATCCCTATAACTTCGTTGCTACTGTACTACCTTTAGTGTAGTTGTACTGCAATTAGTCGCCCGTTTGCTTTCTCACCGAACTAGGTTCAGATTTTTCTGATCTATTTTGGCAGTTCGTGATCCTTGAAAGTCGTCGTATAACTTATTTGTGGGGATTGCTGCAGTAGTCGTTTCTTTTTTTTTTAATGTGATTGGTTGGTGTCCCAGGAACGTGCTAGAGTAAATCGTTCTCTTGTTGTTGAATGCGGCTTCTAAAACTGGACAGGTTTTGTATTGATATGTTGTAGTATCGTACGTCTGCTCGAGAGTAGGATTCAAAATTTCAGGGTAATTTTTAGTTGTCTTTATCCTCTGTGACTGGAGACTAAAAATTTGTCTAGCGTTGGTTTATCTTTTGGAAAAAATTTTTTTCTTGTTTTCAGATTGAATGGCATTTGTTCTGGAGGCATTGTTGGTGGTGTATTGGGGAGATGGACTGTCGTGATGGTTACTTTAGCAAATTATTACTTGTTTCTCGCTCTTTTTAATTGCTGCCGTCCGTAAAAGTTCGGACTAACTTTAAACTAACTTACCTAAGACGTTGTTTTGTATGTTTGCCATTTTGCAAAATCTTCAATTTGCAATATATGGACCACTTATTAAACCTGTTGCTGTTTTTAACAACATTTATATTAATGAATTCTAGTGTGACTTTGCGAGCATTTTGGTTGACTATTCTGCCCGGATCTTTTCTATTTTTTGGCAGATTATTTAGGTTAAGGAGCAGAAAATAGCAAGCAAGTACAGAAGCATAAAATGTTGCGGGTCGCCTTAATCCTCCTTTTGATCTTTGGATGGATGGTGGTGTGAATGGGTAACAGCTCGACTGAACTATCCAAAGACGGCTAGAATTGTGACTGATTCGCTTGTTACTAACGGGTGTTGAGCAAAACGAGATTTATTTTTTGATAGCACTATGGAAGCTGTAGTTGGGAACGATTTGATCTACAGGTTGCTGAGTCAGTATTCACGCAACAGTTGCTTCGTTTTTAAGCTTGAGTTCTTCCCATCTTTCTTTTCGTTAATTAAATGACTTTTTGATTATAAGTGCAGGTCGGAGTTGATTTTCTCTCGAATTTGAGTTTTCAAATAGAAGGAGCAAAGTATACTATGAAGCAGCACTGCTTAACAAAGGGATAAGAAATTGTTCATTGACATGCTCCACTTTTTATAAGTGTCGCGACGGCACGCGAAATAGCCTCAAGGATCGAAGACGGTAATGGACCAGACATGACATTAAGGGGAAGCTCTTGGAGGTCATATTGGGAGATTAGTGCCAGACAGACAGTATAAAAGAGCAAGGTGTTATTAAAAAATTCGGTCTCGCGAAAGGAAGGGTGAAAGTTGGTGATCTTTCTTCAAGCTTTCCTATCTCCTTCTTATAATTCCTAAGCTTATTTCTTTGTTCTTTTCTCATTATTATAGTTGCTTTGTTAAATACTCCTTATTGTTCTGCGTTTCTTTGGTCAAATTTTATTTGTTCAAGGTCATTTGTCTTGCTTGTGATAATTCTTTATCTTATTACTAGAAGGGGCATTAGAAGTCGCTTTGACATGTGTTCCTATTCAATCTATAATATTAAAACCTCGGTACGGTAGGAGTTTAGGTTAGTGAGCAGTTTGCTCAGTAATTTATTCTAATTTTCTGTATCGTCTCGATTGTTTTGCTGCTTGCAATATTCGAAGGATTCAACGAATAAAGAATTATCCGAAGTATAAAGTGCTCGACAACGTTGCCACCCTACGTAGTTACAGTCCTCGAATTACATAGTGCTGCAAGCATCGGCGACTACGATTGCTAGCGGTTTGAAACGGTAGAAGTTCGGTTCCCCATAGGGACACTGTGATCAACTTTTCAATTAAATAGACCGTCGCTAGTTGCAACAATAAGCATTATGAATTGCTTGAATAGTCTTTCAAATTTTACGCATTTGCCAAATGTAGTTGTCCACACTGAAGGTTTGGTTTACAAAAATTTTTACCGCGGTGGTTTGTGCGCGGATATAAATTTACTTTTTCTAAGCTCTACTTTTAACGAACTGAAACTATAATTTGACTTCTGTGCGTTCAGCCTTAAACCAGCACTCGATTGTTGGTTGGCCTGTAAATGAGTTTAGTTTAGTTGGGAAAAGGATTTTTTGTGGATTAGTAAACCTTGAAACTGTCAGTTTTGCAATGCATGACTGAATAAATGGTTTCTGTAAATTTTGCTTCCTGTGGTATTTCAAAGGTCTCGATGTTCATGCTCAACTAAAGTTTTACATTATATCTATAAATTTTAATGGCCTACTGAAAATGACCCATCCAATATTTTGGAACTGTGTTTTTGCCACTAATTAGTACTTTTGGCCTTATAAAAGAAATTGTCGTAGAAATGAACCCAGCTGAACGAGAGAGCGCACTTTCGTTATAGGTAGGGGTCAATTGTTTTTTTTATGTTTTTTTTTTTTTGCTGAGCTCTGCCGCGACAGCGCGCGAAGAACCACATCGCAAAGCATGGCAATCGCCAGTGGACTGTCCCTGAAGGGAAGCTTTTGGAGGCAAACAATAGGTCGTCATTGCCTTAAAGGGTATTTAAGCGAAAGACATCTCAACTAAGTAGAATGTTTTGCGAAATCAAGTTTCAGAGTGGATATCCATTGGTTCATCTTCAGTCTGTTCGCCGGTCGATTTTGGTTTACTTCAAAATCGATTTACTTTGTGCTTTTCGAGTGGCATAATGTAGGTTTTTCCTTTTGATTTATATTTGTGAATTTACTGGTTAATTGGTTCTTTACAGTTTGTTTCCTATTTTTACAACTCTTTATCCTGTTTTCTGTTATATTAGGTAAGGCGTCTGACCAGAGTCGGAAGAGTCCTTCCATTGTAATGTCAAATTTAAGTACCTCAAGTGTTCTTCGAGTTGTAATATACTTAGGGATTTGGAGCAATAAAAAGTTATGTATTAAGGACCAGTGTGACGCTAAGAGACCAGTTCCGCAGCGTTTATCATTCAGTCCTCCCATGTTGGCACTGTACGCGTTAGAAACTACAGTTGCCTACAGGAGTTAGGAAGTACGGTTTCTATGAGCAAATTTGAAGAGCTGAGATCAGCTTCCCAACTAAAAAGACTTGTCGGTAACTGCGACACTTTCCGAACAAGTTTTGGGAATTTGAAGTCACTCTTTCCTTTTAACAGACGTTAGCCGCTATAGAGTCCGACTTTCGGAACCACGAATGAGGGTGTTAAACTTGAGTTTATATGCTTGCAGCAGGAGTTTTCATAAGCATTTCCTGTAGGCTAAGCATTTTAATCGTAATGTTTTCGTCTTTAACTGTGGTTTCCTTTGCATGAAATTCTTGTTTGGTTTTCAGCAATTCCAGATTTGCCCAGCAACTGCTTCCCCATTTTCCCATAGCTTTGATAGGTTGAACAAAAGATGAACTTTTCAAAAAACGAGCGACCAGATACAAGCTAAAATCTGTGTTTAAAACGGGTTCATACTTAGATCAGAGGGTATAATGAATAGATGATAATGATGATACATACTTCAGAAAGCCTTCCTGAATTCTTCTTATACCCTCTGATTCATGAACAGTAAGTCCTTTGTGCAGCTAAAGGATAAGTTCACGTAAGCGTTCCGTTGCTAATCAGAAGACGACCGAAGAAGAGAAGGCCCTGAACTTTCGGATTTCCATGACTGTAGTTGTAAAATTTGGTTTCTTACACTATTTTTCACTGAGAAGCCACTCTTGCAAAAAGTTAGGAAGTAATTAAAATTGTGGGCTTGCTTGTCGTGACCAAGTAGTCAGTTGAGGGTTCAAGAGGCATTAAGTAATAAACAAGGGCAAGTAAGCGACGAAAAAGAAGCCTTTGCTGAGAACTGCAGATAGTATGCGACAGATTTGTTTTCCTGAATCCATAATTCTCGCCGTCGTTGCAGCAAGCTGAATGCTACAACGCACAACAGCTGTTTAGGACGAGGATGGCGGAAAACGAACCAGCTGCCGAGCATGGTAGTGATGGCGTGGCGTAATGCACAGTCCACGATGCTCGTGAGTTCCTCTCTGACTACCTCACAAGATCCATTTATTGATTGCATTCCAACATAATATCAATAGAACTAGAACAAAATAAATGTACATCTCTCCTTAACTACCTAAATTTTTACACGCAACATAGCTTCCACAAGGCTGCATCATTAAGGACCTGCTGACCCCAACTCCGAAAATACAATGCTGACTTTTATGTCTTTGTATGCTACCGAAACCATTGCGCAGCCTTGCAAAAATAAATATAGTTAATACTTTCCGGACCATAAAATGATTTATACAACGCTGAGATTCGGTAACGTAATTTACGTTCCCGCATTATAGCTAAGAAATCAAAATACCCGCACCATAATGAACAGAAACACAAGACTGCTATTGAGCAAAGTAGGAAGAATATATTGATGAACAAACAATTAAGCGCCTATTCTACCAAGTCTGGTCACACGTTACAGTACCCAGCAGGATGCTGGACCTGAGGATACTGATATTGATATGGGTTTGCACATTGATCATTGGGCACAAAACATCGTTCTTCGTAAGGGAACTCTATCCTTGTCCACATGGCTGGTGTGTTAACCTAAAAAGCCTTTGCTTTATGCCATTTGAAAGCACGAAGCTTCATTGGATAAAGAGAGCGGAGTATCTCACCATAACACTCGAGTTATCCTGTGGACTCCATCTGGGCCCGTTACAGGTTTCGAACTGGGGCGAAAGCATCACAGAGGACGCTTGCAGCGACGTCTCAAATAAGCCTAAATGGAACGACCCTCGAATGTTCGAGTGGACATCATTTGGCGATGGGGTTGTCGAGTAATTTGAACCATCAGAAAGTGGAGGGGTTAGAGGGTTTGCCGCTGCGTGAACCAACCCACTCGAGGAGAAAACTGACGGTACCACTTTTTTACAAGCTTTCTGAAAAAGCAGCTTTTTCTTAATCTTTTTGTTAAACTAAAAGTAGCTGGCGAGAAATTGCAAGGCATTTTGACACCACTCACTTGATTAGATTTCTTGTTGGTTTTTTTCTGTCGCAGCAGCTGACCACCGAAAGAAATGCTATTTCTACTGGTGGTTAAAGCAAGTCCCCTTTGAGAAGAAACTGTATCTAAGAAAGAAACTATCTCTTGGTATTTTCTTTCAGCAGCCACATCACGAGGTGACCTCTCCTTCTGATCACATATATCCTTACTTGCACCCAAACTGATTAGTAGTTTAACAGCATTAAATTTGCCCTCTAAAGCAGCCAAGAACAAAGGTGTCTCTTCCTGAAAAGTTTCCAAAAGTTGAATATTGAGTGGTCAAACACGCACCAAAAATTCCTGTTTTAGCGCAACGTACTTGTTGATCTTGAGCATCTTTGTTTGCACCATGCCTGACCAGAATTTGTATTACATTTAAATTGTTGCACTGCGCCGCATAATGAAGAGCAGTTCTTCCAGTGTGCTCAATAGACGACTTGTCGCCAGTACAGGCAGGATCAGCATTTGCTTGCAGTAGTTCTTCAGCAATATCTGGATGAAATGTGAATCGTGCGGCGTAAACTAGCGCAGTTTGGTTATTACAATCAGAAGCATTGACCTGAAATTGCGGATTTATATTCCACAGGTCGTGCGTTAAATCTGTTTTTAAGGCTCGTAATTGTTAACAACACTAACGAACTTACATTAACATCTGTTTCTAACAGCGTACGCACCATGTCTGGATAGTCAATAGCCACGGCATGGTGAAGGACTGTCCTACCTTGCGCGTCTGCTAAGTTTGCGCAAGCTCCTTTTTGTAGTAGGAACCTAACCACTGACAGCCTTGCCTTCTTCACTGCGCACATAAGGGCCGTAGTTTCATCGTCATCCGCTAAATCGATCCCAGCTCCAGCCTCCAAGAGGTTTTCAATGTCTTCTTCAACCGTCATTTCGCTTTTGTTTTCATTTAAAACCACGAGCATTAAAGCTGTCCTTCCGTACTTCCCTTTTACATTAACTATTGATGAGTTGATCTAAAAAATTGCTAAATAATAAGAATACCAAATAAATGGGAACAGTCTCATTGGCCGGTTCTATCCGTTAAAAATGAGAAGCATTAGTTCCAAACCGGAGTGTTGATGCGCGTTTTCAGCATAGCCTCCTCGTGAAGTTCAGTCCACTGGCGTCCGTCCTCACGACACTTTTCTATTGTATGTGTCAAGAAAGACTGCGTATCTTCCGGAGTAAAAAGACTTGACCGATGAATATCTGTCCGCATTCGCTTTGTAGATCCAAATTCCGAATAGTGAAAACCGCTTTGAATAGTGAAGGTGTCGATGTTCGTGGAAGATGATTTCCCTACAACTGATCAATGTTATACTGAGTGGTAAAGGACGTCACGAATTCCTCTCAGAGATTTGATTACCTATGTTCAGAAACTCTGGACAAGATAAATACTGGAAGAAATTACCACTGTCGTTCAGTGGAGGTCGCCAGATTGGAGCACTTAAAATCTTCCTCTTCCGACCTTGCTGAACTATCAAAAAAAGCACAGCAACGAAAGAAAAAGCAAAAAGAAATGAGATAATAATAGATGTCGACAATGTTGATGCCTTCTTTTCTGACGACAACTCAGCACTCGCAGAATAAACTTGCATATCGAGATCAGACAACAACTGAAATAAGGATTCCATTCAGATAAGAATCAAACTGCTAATTACAGTAGTCTAATATGAGCGTATTCCAACTTACTTGTTTTGCCGCGGCTGCGCCAAGGTAGTTAGCCACACTCACTACGTCGCTGAAACAGTTCATATGGCTATCTCGTGTACAGAACGATGTATCCACTTCCAAAACAACCATAGTACCCATCAGTCTCTGTTCTAAATTCTCTTTCTTTCAGTAAGACATTTTCATGTTCAAAATAAAACAACAAAAAAGTTGACTTACCTTCCCTTTTCGTTATCAAGTGGTCGGCTGCAAGTTCAGAAAAGGCGTTTTCGGAAACAAGCACTTGAGTACCAACACCATTTGTAAAATCCCATTCATATATAAGTGGCCTCTTATTTTCCACTTTAACTCTTACAGATGCACGTAGCGTCTGACTTAATGTCAGTAAAAACGAATTATAACGCATCAGAAATTCCTGAGGTTTGATCAGTAATATCATTACGATATTACCATTCAACTGCAAACAACCATAACTTATTAGGAAGTCCTTATTGTGACTGACTGAAAAAAATAGAAGTCTGCCTTCTAATAATCAATTAACAGTAACCTTTGAGTCCCCTACAGCGTCACAGTCTCCTCCATCCCATCCACAACCGCTGTTATTGCATTCTAGGTCACACTTGCCATCCCCAAAAACTTTAGAACAGTAATTCTTTGTGTGACATTTTTCACGAACGACATCACAATCATAACCGTCGAACAAACATTCCTCGTTGTTACACGCCTAAAAACATACTTTGAGGGTCTGAACAAAAGAGGTACTGTCTAGTACCAAATGCTTCTGAAAAAAACTCCAAACTTACTGGATCACATCTGTCGTTGTGGAAATTATGAGCGCAGAAACTGGATAAAGCACATTTTTCAAAGGGATGGTTTTTAGCACTACAATCACCACCATCATAGTCGCAAGCAAAGAAGCTGCATTCAACATCGCAAACACCGTTACCAGCTTTTTCGTCGCAGCGATTCTTTCGACAAACCTCTCTATCGAGTAAATCAGTTCGTGCGTACTCCTCATAATCCACTTTTATCTGACAGTTTCTGCCAGTGTGTCCTCTCAAGCACTCACAATGGAAAGTATTAACTCCATCGATGCAAGTGCCATTGTTCAAACAAAGCCTGAAACCAAAACAATTCTAAAGCTGACAGCAAACTCTTGAAATGGACCAGCACCTCACTAAAACTATAACCACTATCACCCAGTTAAATCCATAGAGGTTCAACAGTATTGCAGGACGAAATCTTAACGCGAAAAATAATTGAAAGAACATACAAAAGAACCCTTGAACTTCTTAAAAGCCCACCGTAAGACCAAACTGTTATTGCTATAAAATACTCAATAAAATGTGAAGTAAACGAGGTTGACAAAAATTACCCTGGATGGCAATCATTGTCATTTATTTCGCACCATCTTCCACTGAATCCGACTCTACATTGACAAGTGAACCCATTAATCTGTCCACGGCATGTGCCGCCATTCTGACAAATAACTCCTTCACAGTCTCCACTGCTCTTCTCACAGTACTTCCCATTGAAACCCGACGGACAGTTACAAGTAAAACCATTTTTTTCTTCAACGCACTGACCACCATTGATGCACGAATCTGCAAGATTGACCAATAGATATGATTCCTCAAACTATTAACGTTACATTTAGTCTCCTTACTTGGACGACAGTACTTCTTTTTATACTCGCAGGCTCTACCAAAATAGTCTGTTGGACATAAGCACCTGTAGGACCCGAAAGATTCGTCACAAGTACCTCCATTCTTACAGAAATTCGTTTTTCGACACCCATCAAGGTCCTAAAAAGATTTATCCCAATAAGTTTGTAATCAACCATTCTGCTCTGTGATACCAAATCAACCTACATTTTCGCAGTAAGTACCCTCGTATCCTTCGCGACATTGACACTTGTAATGTTTTAAATCAGATGTTGGGATGCAAGTTGAATTATTTTTGCAGATATTTTTCTCACATGGATTCTGCCTAAAATAATTATGGCAGATATACCCCCACTGTATTTTGTCACAAAGATGAACTTTCAAAGAAAAATGAAAGATTTAAAGAGCAAAGCAGTTTTCTGAAGGAAAACGGAAATGGAATGAAAAGTACGTTTGAATTTCGCAGCGATCTCCGAAGAATGTCACGGGACAGTGACAAATAAATGAGTTGACACCATCAATACAAGTCCCACCATTCCTGCACGGATTTGGTGAACAATCATCAAAATTCTTTTCGCAGCTCCGTCCGTAATAGCCATTCAAACAATGACAAATATAACCCCCTATTTTGTTTTCACATGTTCCACCGTGTTGACATGGATTCAGACTACAGTCAGTTCCCTAAAAGGTAGGAAATTATCTTAAAAATATATCATTGGAAAAAGTAAAAGAATTAAAACACCAAAAACCTTCTGTTGACATTCTAAGCCGAAGAAGCCGGGCGCACATTCACATATGTAATCAAAGCCATTTGCTGACGGCTTGCAAATTGAATTTTTCGAGCACGGCTGTGAAGCACAAGGATCCGAGACGCTTACTTCGCAATCGCTCCCAGTAAACTGAGGGGGACACCGACAAATACCGCTCAAACATACACCACCATTAAGGCATGTAGTATCATTACACTTCCGGAGCTCACAATTCTTCCCAATAAAACCATCAGGACATTTTTTCTCACATCTTTCTCCGTAAAATCCTTCAAGCAAACAAAAATCAAAAAAAGTCAGGAATGTTCTTTTTATTAACGCTACTCCTTAGTAGCACACCAATACTTTACTAACTGTATTAATTGAAACTTTTTGAGATAAGGAAAAGAAAACTTGCCTCCAATACAAACACATTCTCTTCGTGTTCTATAATCTAAACAGCTGCCGCCATTAAGGCACGGATTTGGAGAACATCTTTCAACTGTCGTAGCACAAAACGCTCCAAAAAACCCTTCATCACACTCGCACCTCCATGATCCTCTAGTGTTAACACAAGTTCCATTATTTCCGCAAGTGATGTTCAACTGAATACATTAACTGGTTATTTTCCGTACCTCCAAATTAAGTTTAAGATCACCTTGCGTGAATTCAAACGTACCGTGACGCATTCATCGATGTCGGTAGAACAGTCTTTGCCAGTGAAACCGTTCTGGCACTTGCATTGGTACTCGCCGTTGGCAGAGTTGACGAGGCATTCACTACCCTCTTTACACGGATTCAAAATACACGGGTCGCTAAGATTGCAAAAAGTTCCTGCAGTGAAGAAGTTTGGTATAAACCACGCATATATACTTGTTGCCAGAAAGCACTTTATTTTTACAACACTGATCTTCTTCCGCTTGCTCTCGGCGTCGATAAACCTCATAAGACGATGACAGACCTGTTTTTCCCTGCGGGCACTCGCAGGTGTAGGATGCTACTCTGTCGATGCATTTGCTGCCTTCGGCACAAAGCGAATCAACACAGTCATCGACGTTAACCTCGCAGTTCCTTCCTTCCCAGCCGCTCACACAGATACAGTGATACTCGTTGTTTCTGTTAATGCAAGTGCCACCATTCTGACAGATCGATGTATTATAGCTACATACGTCTATTCCTTGTTCACACTGATGACCTACAAGAAAAACAGTTGTTGAAAGCAGCTGTAGATCATTATACTTCAACAGTACTTGGTGAAACTATCTTCAAGTTATCGTCAAATACTGTTGACTGTTTTATATAAGACATTAGAAACGTTCATGAAATTTTGGCAGCATAGAACGAAATGCTTTAAAACATTTACGAAGAGGAAGAGTCAGTAATTACCTGTGAACCCAGGTGCACAACTACAAGAACTACCGTAATCAGTTGGCACACATTTGCCACCATTTTTGCAATAGTTATCGGGACATACATCAATTGGGAAATCACAGAAACGTCCAGTAAACCCTAAAATTTACAGGAGCTTCTCAAACAGTGACTTAAGTCTTTCTGCAAATTATAGGCCCTCCTTTCCCCACCGGTCACCAAATAAAGTAACATTTAACCACTCAGTTTGTTAAAGAAACTTCAAACCAATAAAATGTTTACTGTGATGAAACAACTTACCAGGCATACACCTACAAAAATATGTATCATGCGCAGGAATGCATTCTGCTTGGTTTTTACAAGAAGAATTCTGACAAGGGTCCATCAGTATTTCACAGTTCTTGCCTTTATACCCGTCGGGACATTCACAAGAATAAGTGCCATCCTATAAGATTGTTTGTCCTGAGACAAAAATCGTTTTAGCTAGAAAAGAAAACGGAACGAGGTTAACTGTTAAGGATGAAAGAAGACATTTTGCCACACTTACTTTAGCCACACAACGTCCTCGAACGCAAGGCTTGCTTAGGCATTCGTTTTTTTCTATCTCACAGTGCTTACCTGTAAAACCAGGCGAACACTTGTCACAGAGTAACCCTAAAAAATCCTATGTTTAGAAACCGTCCAGCACATTTCAAGTCAACTCAGTCTTTTACATCTGGACAACGGTGAACAAAGGGGAGCACTTGCTTCAAAATACAGTTGTAACAAGGGGCATAATAACAGTTTTATGTATCATTTTATTCCTAATAAAGTCGCCCTCTTTCTTCTAGCTATAAATTAGATTAAGCTGTATACCTATGACAATACAGGACTTATAAATCGGGAAACTTAAAAAGCCAACAACCCTCCACTAAAATAAGTTTCAGGAAATGAAGAGAAAGACCACTGCTACCTTTCACAGTCAGATGATTATTCTAAATAAAAATAACAGCTATCTACAAATCCCTTTCTGAGGTGAATTTTATGTAGATTTAAGCTACTGTTACGATATCTATTAGGTTACTGTCAGAATAAAGACGCACAAAAACGGTAAAATATATAGGTTACACAAAGAACATTTTGAACTACCGTAAATTCAAGTTTAATTACAACTTAGTTCCATTCTGAACTAGCAACCAATAGGGACCAGTAGACTTTTTTTTTTTTTTTTTCGAGGATTATTGGAAACTTAATCAAATGTTATTTTTGAAGTTTCGCGAGGGTAAAAATTTCTTAAAATCGTCTACAATGGAAGCCGCTCGGCATTTTCAAAAGATTTCAGTGACAAAAGATGAGTGAATTTCGCTGAAGTCACCAGTAGGCAGCCATCTACAAAATAAGGGCAAAACTGATTGCAGCAGCTACGCCCAATTTCACACATTTTAATGACTATTGTTCCATCCAAAATCTACCACATGTTTTATTCGCCAGTGATAACTGGGTCCCTCAGCAGTGCCGTAGAAGAACAACAAAAGAACTATATATACGTTACACATCGAGCGGTATAACTTATTTATACTGAAACTCAGACAGCCAACTATGGATGCGCTTAACTAAAGCCTGTTTAAAACTGCAAACATATGGGGCAACTAAATACATCTATCAGTTCAAATACACCAAAATATATACCATCAAATCCACGTTTGCATACGCAACGGTATTCTGAATATACATTACTAGTTGGTACACAAGTTCCGCCGTCTCCACATATTGGTCCATCAAAACAAACATGATACCGTAGTGGAGTTTCTTTTTGACAACGATCTCCAGTAAACCCTAAAAAATCAAAATTAAAACAAAAAATTTAAACAGTTTGTAAATTAACAGCAATGATCCCAGCAAAAAATTAACTAAATTAAAAACATTTCCGCAAAACAGTCACAGAATTTGATCACCCTTAGTACGCCTATTTTGGTGCCATTATCCGCGTTAATTCATAAAATGAGACAATTATTTATGTAAGAACGTATACATTGATATCAGTGATTTCAAAGTACCAATCAACTAAAAAAAATAATTAAAGCTAAAAAGAAAAAAAGGCGAAGAAAAACATTATTCTTTATTACAATCAGTGAAGGTAGACAAATTTTTCATTCCTCTTATGCACTGTAAGAAAAGCAGAAAAAAAATTCTTTTTTTTTTAATAGTTTTCAATCTGGTTTGTGTAAAAAAAAAATGCGAATACACTTCTCAAGGACGCCTAACGTTGGTTTTTACAATCATTTTCATAATCATCAATAATAAGCCATTCGAAGATCAAAAAAAATTGACAAAACTTATGTTATGGGACCGCAAAAGCCTACAGTAAGCCAGGAAAAAACAGGCGCGAATAGCAACAGATTGGCCAAAAAACCTCTGAAGAAAAAGCGATGAGACAACCAATTGCACATGTTGCCCATCTCATAGACACCTCTTAAACAAGGTTTAACAAAAGAAAAACACTTCAGTTGTTCTTTTCTTTTTTTTTTTTTTCAAACAAACAAATTGAAGTATATTAAAAGGAACAAAATTAAACCAATTAGACATAATAATTAAACGAAAAAATGGCAGTAAACGACCACAGCGTAGAGTTATGTAAAGATTTTAACAAAAGTCTATTACCCGTTGTGCTATTCGCAAATCTTGTTGTTATATCAAAATATTGGCACAACAAAAGCCAGAGCAAACAGTTCAGTAAACTCAGAAAACTTAGTAAATTAAGTAATCTTTTTTTACGCCTAATATCAATTTTCTTTCAAAAATCAACAATCCACTGTATCATGCATAATTAAAGTCACTCTAGAAATGTAAATACAAACATATGATGTCATCGAGAAAAAAAAAACAAAAAAAAATTACCTATATTTTAGTCAAATTTTGTTAAATAAAATTACTTGCAGCAAAAATATTTCAAAAAAATACTTGCCACCACCAATGCAAAAAAAGCCAAAGTTTTACCAATGTATATAACAAAGGAAATGTATGATCCACCTTACTAGAGTACTCAAAACCATTTTTTAGACGAAAAAAAATCCAATCATGAAAAAAAGAATGACAAAACAGAATGTAGACGATAATGGCATTGCTGATGTTAAGAAGATAATAAAGCAATTATTGCCTACCAAGTGAGAGAAATAAAAAATTCCGCAATCTATAAATCACTAGAAAACATTCCTGAACATTAAATGCCCAGCTTACAAGACAAATGATCAAGGTTATCGTTGTCGTACCTGGGGGACAAAGGCAAACTGGTCCTGACGACTGATCTTCACATTTGCCACCATTCAAACATGGACAAACAGCATGTTCACATCTGGGGCCTCTGTATCCGTAAACACAACTAAAAACCTCACTGAATTACTCTGCAGAACAAAATCAACAAAAATGTTTTTACAGAACAATTTACCAACTTATGAGACTAAAAATAAAAATTATAAAGCATCTTCATTAAAAAAAACTATCAAAAATTGTCAAAACTATGCATATTGATAAATCGAAGGGATAAGTTTCAAAGTTCAAATTTCCCATAAAGTACCACTCCGACTTTTATTTTGAACCTCATTCTTTGTTTTTTAGCCAATTATAAACCCTCTCAAAAGTGCAAAAAGTGCAACAACAGCTTCAAAAGAACTTTAATTGTCAAAAGAAAAAGTTTGAAGCAGTGAAAAGATCAAATAAAGACATTATTTTTTACAAAAAAAGTTGGACGAAAAGATAGACTTCCGTTAGGAAGTGAATAAAATTATTGAGGATTATCAAAGGTTAAGCTTTTTAAATTGGTGCTAAGAAAAAACAAAAGAGAATAAAGTTGCCGACATGTAATATTCAAACAACTCATCTAAATCTGTATCCGTTTTGGTCTGGCAAAAGCAAATAAATCATCGGAATTATTAAAAGATAGAAAAAAAAGACTCAAAGACAAATATTACAGGATGTAATGACTTGTCAACAACAAAATCACTTCTTCACTCATTCTTTATTCATAACCATCTTTTTCAAAATTGAGCAAAAAAAAAAGAAATAATTTTGCAGCTACAATTCAAAAACCTTTTATGTGCCTCAACTTGAAGGTGAGAGAAATGAACCATAAAAAGTTACAGATCAGTAAATCAATTTTTACGCTTCAATTCCTCCCCCAC